GGCTTGTTTGGATCCTTGCTGGGTTCTTTTCAGCTTGATTACAATTTCTAGATGTTGAGTCAATTAATGGACACAACTTCTTATAACGTGGGAATTGAGGAAAAACTCTGGTTGCCCCATTACAACCTGGTGACAGTGGAGGAAGAGCAGTTTGCGTGGCTCTGTACCTTCTCACCAGATTTTGTATGTCCTGAAGCATTTGGTGGTGCTTATTAAGCACCATCTCCTAAAGTCTCATGGACTTCTGTCCAGACAGACTTTCAAGAGGGCCATACAGTCACCTGGACCAGAAACCAGTCTGGGAATAGGGAGAGAGAGTGCTCTCCCACACTGAATGTCCCACCATGAGGATGCAGAGGGCCCTGTGCCTTTTCCAGACACCTTTTCCTTGCCTGGATGTGAATGCCCTTCCTTCCAAGCTGTGCAAAGCCCTAACCATGCTGCCTGGTAAAGCATTAGGTAATTTCCTTCCCTCCTCCTCTGGAAGGTGTTTTGATTAGCATAACCATTGTGTTCCCAAATTAGCTTGTGTTCCTGGCTTTGCCTTTTGGCTGGGTTTTCGTGTCACAAGTGTGCTCTGGCACAGTGACACAGTTTTCTACGTGCCAGCGTGTTGCCTATGTCCCAGCCACCCAGGTGGCACCAGAAATGCACCAGAGCAAGGCAAGGTCCTAACCTTGATAAATCTGAGCACTGAAGATGATTGACATGGAGATAGGATCAGCTTGGTGCTTATCATAGGACCACCAGATGGCCAGAGTGGGAAGGGACCTCTGGAGTTTACCTGGTCCACCCTCTGCTTAGGCAGGGCTTGTGCCTGTGTTGCCTTGATCATTCACTGAGACCTCATGTTAGCCAGGTGGAAAGGCAGCGAGTCAGCCCCAATGCTTGTTGGGCTGCTGTTGGACTGGAGTAAAGGTGAGATGGTTCTTTATTTTTGCAATATACAGCTGTTGCTAAGTTGCTGTTTTTTTTTTTTTTTTAATAAGGAAGTAGCTGTTACAGATATATGAATTTCCTCCAGAGTATTTAGTGTTTCTCTGGGGCAAAACAGGATATTAGGAATCTTTTTTTGAGTCAGAAGTGGTGAAGCATTGGCACAGGCTGCCCAGGGAGGTGGTGGAGTCACCATCCCTGGAGATATTCAAGAAATATGGAAATGTGGCACTGAGGGACGTGGTTAGTGGGCATGGTGGGGATGGGTTGACAGTTGAATATATAATGATCTTGGAGGTCTTTTCCAACCTTAGTGATTCTAAGAAATATTTCCCATATGAGATTCACTGTTCCTGAAGCCTTGGCACCCCTATCTCCTCAGCTAGAGGCTGTGTGACTGAAATGAGTCACTTGGGTAACAGTGTTGGTGCAGGAAAGGCTTCCCTTAAGCCCACAGAAGACCAAGGAGGAGGAGTGGGCCTAGCAGGATGCATGGCTGGAAAATGAAGCAGGAGAACGTGTATTGGCTTATGAGTCCCTTCCATAGGCTGCAACCAGGCTTTCCCATATCTCTTGAGAGAAGGAGGGGGGCATCACCTGGTGGAACTGTAGATGTCCCTGTACACTGCATGGGAGTTGGACAAGATGACCTTTATACGTCCCTCCCAACTCAATGATTCTATGATCTGCAGGACTATGTCTGCTCACAGACATGCCACTGGTACTGGAGATGGGAGAACACTTGCTCACCATGGGATGTTGCAGTTGCACAGCTCTCCCTCTGCTAAGCTTTCAAGTAAATTCTGTGACAGAACAAGCTTATGAACGGTCTGCTTAAAACATCTCCAAAGAGGAAGGAGAAACTGATGAACCATACAGATATTTGACCTTGCTCGCTGCTAAAGCACGTGCTGTCATGCCTTTGGATGGCCTGAAGCAATCTGACACCAGATTTCAGCCGGACTTACACAGTGGGAGCCCCAGTCTGGCCAGGGGGAAAAGAAAGGATGCCACAGGGATGTGATGTTTTTGATGAGATCAGTGGGCAAAGTGAGAAGTAGCTGGGGAGGAAAGAAAGAGATTATCTTCTCAAAAACTGTGTCAGCTAATTTAACTCCCAGATCCTCATCAGTGCTATCTGCTTCTGTGTTAACTGTCACTTATTCCAAGGATAAAGTCATTGAACTTTTGGCTTCTAGTTGCCATTTTTGCATGCTGGAGTGGTTGGAAAGGTGATGGAAAGAGAAGCTAACGTACAGATGTGCTCCTTGTGATTGGGTGTAGGTGCCCATACAGATGCACTACAGATGAGCAGGAGCTGGCCAAGAGCTGAGGAGTCACCTCAGCAGGGACAGCTGCACTGGGATATCCTTGTCATAAAGCCCCTTGCTCTATCACAACTGTGTTTTGGGACTGTGTGCTCATGCTCCCTGTGAGCAAGCCCTGCCAGGAGCCTTTTCTTATAGGCTGAAAAGCTGTGGTGTAGTACACACTTGTTTCTTTGCAAGCATGGCCTCTTAACTCCTGACTTAACACTTTGCTCTTCCTAGCATGTTTCCCATCCTGCTCCCTCTCAGCCTGCATTTTGCTCGGCTGAAGATTTCAGCTCTTGGCTCCTTCAGGACCTGGGGAGCCCCATGCAGAGTCTCCTCACCCGCAGCAGGGCTTGTTTGAGGAGCTAAATATATCCCAGCCATGGCTATGGATTTAGGATAACTAATACATCTAGTGGAAAGATTTGGAGCTGCTCCAGGGCCAAACATTTTCTTCCCCAACAGCCAAAGGCTTGTGGACACAAAAATAACTAGGGACTAAAAAACTTGAGTTGGAGCAGGGGATTTTCAGACTGAACCCAAGAAAAACTTTCTAGCAGTGAGATGACCATGGATGATTGCCAGCACTTTGGTTGTTTTAACACCAGGGTACAGAGCACTCTGGAGGGGGTTGGGCTGGGGTTGGATGCTGCCTTGGGACGAGGGCTGGGCTGAGTTCAGCCCCCCCAGCCCTATTCCTACACAACTGTGATGCCTTAAAAAGGGGAGGATAGACAAACCATAGGCACTGGGATGAGGTTTGAATCACGTAGGTGTTGGTGAGCAGAGGATGAGTGAGAGGATTCCTTCAGGCAGCCGAGGAATTAACACACAGGGAGCCTGAGGGCATGTCTGTGTCAGTGTGGTCCACATGCCTGATCTGTCTATTTCAGGTCCCTCTGCAGAAGCCATGTTGTCATAATTAGCCGGAATGTTTCTTCACTAGCATTTTTTTCCCCTCTAATTTCATCACATTTGTCTGCATGAAACAGTCACTTATTGTCCTTGCCATTGTGTTGAGATGTACCAGGCTGTGGACGGGACCTGCTGCTGATCTCAGTTGGCCTCAATAGCACAGCTTGTTCTGTGCTATTGATGGTGATGGTACAGCAGCAGCTGGTGTGAGTCCTAGTGACACCGCTAAGAGCAGCCCCAATGGCCACTCCATGAGAGGCTCTGGCCACTGAAATGCATTAACATGTTTTTAAGCTCTTTTCTCTTCAATCACATGAAGTATCATTCTGCTCGAATGCTTGATGTTCCCTGGGACCCAGCTCTGCTGCCTCCGTGACCACAAGCCCCTATGAAAAGGTCAGATTATCCCTCCTTCCCAGCTACTTCTCTAACAAATGGACTTCTATTTATGATCAATGCCTAATGAGCTCAGAAGTCATGAAGTGCTTCATAACAGGGCCAGAGTAGAGCAGAAAAGGGAGAGAGATGGCTTTGGGCTTGGTTGAAGGTGTGGAGACACAGGAGTTGTCCCCACCAGAGCCCAGACTTTGGGTGCAACTTTGGGAGAAAAGGGTAGCTCATGCAATCTTGGGTTACACAGTAAGCAGCAAACCTCTATTCTTACCCTTTTGTTACTCTTTGGCTGATGGTTCCTGCTCGGTTGGGTGGTTGGTTGGTTGGTTGGTTTTTTTTTCAGGTGGCTGGTTAGGTTATTTGTTGGTTCATTTGTTGTTTGGTTTTTTTTGGATGGATAGTTAATTGGGTGGTTTGCTGGGTGACTGTGAGCAGGTGGTTGATTTGTTGGGTGGTTTTGGAGATACAGCCTCATGTAGTTTGGCCTTTGGTCATACTCAGGACAGGTCACATTCTAATGGTACAGATTGCCAGGTGACAGCATCTCCCAAAGGGTGTCCTGGCTCCTCTCCATCACTTCAGCCATGGTTGCTCTGTTCCATTGTGAATGGAGTCCCTTCAAGTCCTTTGTAAGTTATTGAAGCATTTCCAGCTAGTTAACCCTCTCTGGTGCAAATGAACACTTGAGTAGTACACCCCATTTCCCTTTTGTCCCTCCCAGTCAGGCCAGGAGGCATACATGCCCCTGTGCTCACCATGCCGGGCGTCACTGCACACCATGAGCAGCTCTGGGCAAGGTTCTGCCCCAGCTCCGGATCCGGCTTATCAGGCTCTGCTCTAATAGCACGGAGCGCATCATGCTGATCCCAGCAGCTTCCCGGGCAATCAAACCCTCTTTCTTCCCCGCAAACAGCACTCGGCCAAAGGTCTGCAGAGCTGCACACCGCGGGCCGACCTGCTCAGGACCGGCTCGCAAGCCTTCTGAGTCGGAGCCAGCCAGCCTCTCGGAAGCTCTTTTTTTTCCTCGCCAACACCGCCAGCTCCGAGCCCGGCTTTCCGCGGGCCGGGGCCTACAGCCCCCAGGAGGCGGCGCGCCCGGCCCGCCCCCCGCTCTGAGTGGCCCCGCGGTGCGGAGCGGGGCGGGCCCGGCGCGCCCGGCGAGCGAGCGGCAGAAAGTGCCACGACTCCAGACGGGCGTGCGGGGAGCGACCCGGACGGGTAGGCGGCGGCGGGGCCGGGGCGGGCGGCGTCGCACGGAGCCGCGGGGGCGCAGCCGGGGACCCCCCCCTCTGCACGCATCCCCGGCTGCCGGCGGGGTCCCCGGGGCGCGGCGGGAGGGATTCTCGCACTCCCCCGCGGCGCTGCCGGGGGACCCCGCTCCCGGCTCGGCGGCCCCCGGCCGGCTGTCAGCGCTCCGGGGGGACCCTCCCCGCGCCCCCGCGTGCTGGGGGGTCCCGCTGCGAGGGGTCCCGGCCCGCGCCCCTCCGTCCCGCCGGGGGGGTGTCCGGCCGGGATGAATGGCCCGCGGCGTGCAGGGCGGTGCGGAATGGCGACGTGTGCAGGCGGCCGGGGAGGGGCCCGCACCGCCGGATGATGGACGCGGCTACGCCGCCTCTTCCTCCCCCGACCGACCCCTCCTGCGCTCCCCGGACACCCCCGGGGCTCCGTGCCGCGGCCCCGGCTGTCCCGGCTGCATTCCTGTGCCCGCAGCCCGATGGGATCCCGTAAGCTGATTACCCGCGGTTACAGAAGGTCACGGCTATGAGATGATCGTGCCTTTTCCGTTCATCGCGCTAGAAAAAAAGACCTCGGGATGTCCTCCTCCTGTTGCAGCGGGGTGCGGGGAGAAACTTCAGAAGCCGCTGGCGATTTCGTGCTTGGGAAGAAGATGCAATCTCAGCTCGGAGCCTGGTGTCCCGGGCCGGTCGGCTGCTGGGGGAAAGCAGAGGGAGAGCACCGCTCTGCGGGCTGCACGGAGCCCGGCTCGCTGCCCTGCGACCCCACGCACCTCTGCATCTCCTGACTCCGGCGGGAGGTGCTGCTGCGATGCCACGGCCAAGCACAGCCCTTGGGTCGCAGCGCTGGAGCTGCAGGGAGCATCTTTCCCTGTCTGCTGCACTCTCCCAGGGCAGGGCAGCCAACGCGTTCTCCTTTGGCTGCGTGGGGAAATGAGATCTCTGTGGCTCCTGTGTGACCTACTGAGCTCTGTGTGTGGGATGTCGGAGCTGGGCACTGCTCTGTGCTTACATCCAGCAGGGCCGAGTGTTCCCAGCTCTGCTTCCATGGACTCATGCTCGGGGCAAGCAGGAGTGGCTGTGTGAGGAGGGTTTCCTGGGCTGTTGTCTGAGATTTGGGGAAGTTTGGCTAAGAAGCAAAAGGCACACTGAAGAGTTAAAATGTGGATTCATATGGGTTTACGGAATGTGAGCTCTGTTTTTTGGACGTGGAAGGCTGATTGTGTCTGTGCACCACGGTGTGGGCAGTGGGCTGTAAAGGGCCCTTGCAGGAGAAAACGGTGTGCCTCTCTCATCTGCACTGTGTGTAAGGACAGGTATAGGGGACTGCTGTGGGCACAGCCGGTGGGATGGCCCAAGTGCAGAATGGGGCTGCCAGGACCTGCGTCATGTTGGGTGTGAGGTTTTGGCCAGGCTCTGGAAAGGTGTTCTGGTGCCAGACTGGGGTTTGCACTGTTTCTTCTTTTTCCCTCCTTGGCTTCACGCAGCTGCTTTTGGACGTGGTGACAGCAGCTGGTGGGGTTGGGTGGTGGTTGCCAGGAGTTGGCAGTGAGCCTTCCCTAAGCTGGAGCACCAAATTTACTCTAAATGTGTATATGTTATAGTGTGGGGTTCAGGAGGATTTATTCTTACCAACATAGGTCACTTTGTTCCATCTTCTGACAGCTGATGGATGCTTTGGTGTAACTCTATAACCAGCATTAGATCATGGATATGTGTTCTTCAGCCTTACTTTCTATTTTCTGTGGGGAAGTCCTCCCTTTTCCCCAGCAGGTTGGAACATGTTGCTCAGAGAAGCTGTGGTACCCCATTCCTGGTGACGTTCAAGGTCAGGTTGGATGGGACCCTGGGTAACCTGAGCTGGTGGGAAGCAGTCTTTCCTGTGGCAGAGGATTGGAACTGGATGATTTTCAAGGTCTCCTACTACCTGTGCTATTCTATGAGGCCGCCCATCTTGGTGGTGAAGATCCCAAGGCACTCTCCCTGCAGCAGAGACAGTAGCACACTGGGGCATGGTCTGTTATCCGCTCAGGCAGTGCTTGTTCTGTGCAGGGTGGCTGGGTGCAGCTGGCATGCAAAGCCTCCCATTCACTTCAGACAGGGCTGTGAGTTCCCTGCTCCAGCTGTCGGAAAGGAAGAGCCTCCCAGGTCTCTGCCTTCAGGCGCTGAGGTTTTGCAGAGATGCTGATCTCCTTAGTTTTATTAGTCTTTTTGCCTCCTCCCCCCCAGCACCTCCTTCCCTCCCTCCTCCTCAACCCACAACCCCTTATACAGAGGAAATTCGATAATGTTTACAGTTAAGTGTGGGGATGGGAACTCCTGATAGCTGGGGGCTTTCTGCATTTTTCTGATTATATTTTGAGACAGGATGACCAGAAACCACATCTTGGCACATCCTGGAAAGCACTCCTTTGCAGATGAATGGCCCAGTTCAGCATCCCAGTCAGGGTTAATGAGCCAGCTCAGGGCCATGTGGAGGTTGGTTGTGCCCTGATAGGAGGAACCTGAGTGGGACAAGGAGTTTGGGACAAGGTTTGATTAGGAATTGAGCAGAGTGGAGATGGCAGCACCTTGTAGTGGCTGTTCTCTGCTTGCCCAGTCTCAGCATCCAATGCTGCTCGTTGTGTCTGAGTGGACAAACTGAGCCCCTCTTGCCTGCCAGCTCTAGCAGAGGTGGAAGGAGAAGTGCCACATCCAGTGCTCCTTCCACAAGTCCCACTCACTTCTTCCTGCTGGCGTCTGTTGGGGAGATGAGATAATTTATGACTGTGACTCTTTTTTTTTTTTTTTTTAGCATGAACTTCTGACTTTTATTGCTATTTGCATTTCAAGGAAATGGTTGGGACTTGGTTCTCTACATGGTGTACGTGCACACAGCCTCGGTGCTAAGAGCAGCGATCTGGCAGAATGTGATCACGGCACGTCCATGCTGCAAGAGCTGTTGCAGAATGGTTGTTTCTGCATTTGGAAGCAAATAAGGAAAGCTGCCCTGCACATGCTTTCATCCTGTTTGTTAGAAGTGCCACAGGTATCGCCCTACAGTCATGCTAAAGCCATCCCAGCGGGCGTGCAACAAGCGGTTGCTAGTGTCTGTGATTGCATCCCTCTTCTTTCCAACTTTTTTGTTCTACTGGAGATTGCTACCAGTGAAATTAGTTGTAGCAGTATAACTGGATCACTGTGAATAGGCAACATAGTGGAAGAGCACAAGTGTAATGATGTGCAGCTTGGTAGCCCTCCCCAGATGTGTGTGAATCATGAGCGTTTGTCTTCTCGGTGCACGGTGGTATTTGGAAACACAAATGATTCTTTTAATTCCCTTGCAGAAGTGATTGCGTTTTTTTGGTTTTCCCCTCACTGTTGCTCTGATGTCTTGCAGGCACAGAAGAATAAGGCAGGATGGATGTGTACGACCCTCAGACGCTGGGTGTTGTGGTCTTTGGAGGCTTTATGGTGATATCAGCCATTGGGATCTTCTTGGTGTCCACCTTCTCAATGAAGGAGACTTCTTATGAAGAAGCCTTGGCAAAGCAACGTAAGGAGCTTGAGAAGACCAACCAGCACAAAACAGAGAAAAAGAAGAAGGAGAAACCTGTTGAGAAAAAAGGAAAAGCAAAGAAAAAGGAAGAAAAACCTAATGGAAAGATACCGGAGCAGCAAGTTACTCAGGAAGCGACTGACTCTTCCAAGGATGTGGTTCTTGAGCCTGCTGTGGTGCCAGAGCCTGTGACAGTTGAGTCTCCAATCCCAGCGGTGTCAGTGCCCCCCCAGGAAAAGGAGAAACCTGCTCCGTCTCCTAAGGAAAAGAGGAAGAAAGAGAAGAAGGTGGCAAAGGTAGAACCTGCTCCTAGCCCAGCACTGGCGTCTCCTCCTGCCAGTGTTCCCAAAGGCTCTCCTGTCTTGGAGGTGACCCCTAAGGAGGTGCCTGTTGTGGCTGTGCCACCAGTCGGCACACAGCAAAGTGCTCCGGTTGTCAGCTCCATCCCCATTAAAAAGCCTGAGGCTCTTCCAACTCATGAGGAGCAGAAGCATGATGGGCCTGTCAAGAAGAAGGCAGGATCCAAGAAGAAGGCTGAACCAGGTAGGGCCAAATTCCTGTGTGTGTATTCCCACTGAGTAAGCAAACACAGCATCTTAGTACTGCTAAAACAGAGCTGTCCTGTTCTGAGATTTTTAATTTTTTTTCTTCCCAGTTGGTAACAGGGTGACTGGTAAAATGGCTGCGTCTGGTGAGATGGACTGTGTGTGTTGAAGTTGCTTAGGAGGAACTTGTTCTGCACTGCCATTCTCTCTAAGAGAAGGAGAATTGAAGTTAACAACTTACTGATTTATTTTCACTCTGTAATGTGTTGCCTCTTGCTTTTGGGCGTCTTGCATGTTGGTGCTTATCTCCTTGGCTCAGCACACAGGCATTAGCAACCTATAGGTTCCTCTAGGATTCACTGTTGTATTGGGGATCTCTTAGCAGTTCTGTATACCAGGAACGAATAGGAGCTCCAGGTACTTCTGGGAGAAGAGCAGCTGCCAGGGTGCTGGTCAGCAGGGTGGAAAACAAGGATAAGGAGCTCCCATACTCACTGGGGTATAAATAGTTCTGTAGCTGGATTGCTGCCAGTCTTTGCACCAATTTGAAGAGGTTTGGTTTGGTTTGCTTTTTTTTTTTTTTTTTTTTTTTTTGATTTTGTTACTTTTTGGGTAAATGATTCTTGCGGCTGAGGCAATGTGAATGGGAGATGAGCTCTTATCACTTGTTTACTTAGGCAGTTTTTGGGTTGCACTGAACATCTGTACCTTTGGGTGTGAAGTACGGGTCCTGCATGTCTTAAAAGCCAGCTCTGATGTCTTAGACGCTCTGTAGGGTTTTCCAAAAGAGAGCTCTTGTCAGTGTCCGTACCACGACATTGTTTATAGCTGGACCAAAGCATCATGGACAGCCTTTTGGTGCTGCTGTGGTCTCCCACTTTATTGGAGGCAGAAGCAACAAATTATCCTGTTGCAAATAAAAAACTGAAATGTTCGAAGGCATGTCCTCGGCACTGAAACAGATGCCAAACCTGACAAAGGGGGATTGAGGTATTTTTCTCTTATGTGTTTTTTTTTTCAGCCTCCTGCATTGCAGGAAAGCTTGTTTACAAGTGGTTGATATGTACTTGGATCCCAGGTCATGAGCTTTGATAGTAGGAGCTGCTCCCCTTGACACACGTGAGGGTACCTGATGTGGTAGTGCTGAATGAGCTCTGTTCCTGGGGATCCAGGCAATGAATGATTTGTGTCTGCAGTGCCACGTGTCTCCTTGGGTTTAAGAAGTGGCTCAAACCTTGCTGTGCTTCCCCATAGCAGCTCTGCCAGGGCAGTGCTGTTTGAAGGCGAGGCGTGAGGTTTCCACCTCAAAATCAATCAGTTATCAGCTTGACATGGTGTAGACTTCTCTTTGCAGAGCAGAGCTGGGCTGAAGCAGGCTGCTGTGCTGTGCCGTGGTTTGGCAGGTTGCCCCAGGCCCGTTTGCCAGCTGTGAGGTGGTGTTTGTGCAAAGATTGCTTGTGCAATGCTGGCCGGAGATGGGTGACGTTTTGCTGATGGGTTCCTCCACCCAACAGAACTGGGTTGAGGGAGGTGATGTGCTGTCCTGCATCCATACTATTACCTGTGTGAGTGAAATGTGAGCCTGGCTCCTGAGCAATGCAGTGTTTTGCCCCTTCTTAAATGTGTTTTCCATGAGGTGGCTGCTGGGCCCAGTTGGGCCCTGTAGTAGAACCAAAACCGGACAGCCTGGCAGAGGCCCCTGTGTCCCCAGCAGGGGTTGTGCTGGAGCGGGGGGCCTTGATGCCCACTTGTTGCCCAACTCCTAAGCTCATACTTCGTGTTAGCAGAGCAGTAGGGAATTCTAGAATCTCGAAGTGGTTGAGGTCATGAGTCACCTCTGGACTGCACACATGGGGCTGGTTGCTAATTTGAAACATCAGTTTTGGGGTTGAAACTTGCTGAGGGATTTGGATGCTCTGCCAACATCCTGAAGTGGTCTCAGTTCCCTCTTTTTTCTCCCTAGCACCTGCTGACTCGGATGGGCCCCTCTACCTGCCTTACAAGACGCTGGTGTCCACCATCAGCAGCATGGCATTCAGTGAGGGGGAGGCTCAGCAGCTCATCGAAATCCTGACAGAGAGAGCAGGCATCGTGCAGGACACCTGGCACACGGTAGGGCTGTGGGCATCTCATGGCCACCCACTGCTGTTGCTTCTGCCTCTGTTGAGCCTCAGCAGGGGGAGCTCCAAGTCTTTGGGTGGGCTGGGTGTCCTACTGACCCCATGGTTCAGTTCTGGAGGCTGGAGCTTTGTTGGAAGTCCTGTGTGAAGCACTTTGGGTGGCTTCTGCCTGTGGAGCAAGACAGTGGGTTTGGAGATATGATGTCCCCACTCATGTGCCACCTCACTCTTGCAGGCTACACAGAAGGGTGACCCAGTTGCTGTTCTGAAGCGCCAGCTGGAAGAGAAGGAGAAGCAGCTCACTGCTGAGCAGGAGGATGCAGCTGCTGCCAGAAACAAACTGCGGGAGTTGAACAAGGTAAGCAATGTGCAGTCTGCCCAGCGTCACGGTGGCTCACCCCACTTTGACAAAGCATCCGGGCCGTGAGCCTCTTAGTCCCCACATCTCATCCCTTTGAGATGGCCTCAGTCTTTGTCCATTTGCCTCTACCTTGCTGCCAGCAGGACTAGGCGGCAGCAGGTGGGTAAGGAAAGGGCAAAGCCATCCAGCACAATTGTGTCACTGTCCCACACAGCCCATACAACCTAGCCCAGCAGCCCAGCCACCCAGCTGTAGTTATAGAATCACAGAATTGCTTGGGTTGGAGGGGACCTTAAAGATAGTCTAGTCGCAACCCCCTGCTGCGGGCAGGGTTGCCAACCGCTGGATTGAGCACTAATTCTGTCTCTGCAAGGAGTGGTGGGTGCTCTTGTTTTTTTTTTTTTTATTTTATTCCTGCTTTGTGCCCAAATTTTGTCTGATGAGCAGGAGAAAAAATCCATGCTGTTTTACTGCTTCCTCACAGCTGGCCCACTGTGGAACAACAGTGGCATCCAGTGGCCACAGAGCCCAAAAAAAGATGCGGGTAGAAATGTAAGTGCTGAATGACTTAGCTTGCTGCCTTGGTGTAGGGAGCGCTGGAATGACTGAACTTCTGCATCTTCTGAGTTAGGTGGCCAAGTTTTGTCTTCCCTTGTAAGGAGGAAACTGGAGCCCTGAGGGCTAAGCAGGCGGCTTTTCTCCATGCAGGAACTGGCAGCTGAGAGGACCAAGGCGGCAGCCAGTGAAAGCAAGCTGAAGGAACAACTGGTCACCCGCGAGCGGGAGATCACTGCTGTTCAGGCACGGATGCAGGCAAGCTACCAGGACCACGTTAATGAAACACAGCAGCTCCAGGGAAAGGTAGGCTACAGGATGTCCTCTTCTTGCTGCCTAATGACTTTTCTGGGGTTCATGGAGATGCAGAGTGGTACAAGGAGAGATCTGAGGCTTGAGGAGGTGGGAGTGAGTCTCTGATGCTCAGTTCTTCAGTGTGGGCTTTACTGAACTGTGTTGCTCAAGGGGGAGTGAGTGTGTGGGAGCATCTTAATGAGATGTCATGTTCTGGGGGCTGTTGGTGTCTGTAGTCTGATGAAGTGCGAAGCTCTGTGGCACATCCTTCGTGTGTATGTCCCAGGCTGAACTGGGATGTTGCATGCACTCCACAAAGCAGCATAACCTCTGTTGGGCTCCTCTAGATTCGGGCCCTGCAGGAGCAGCTGGAGAATGGCCCCAACACACAGCTCGCTCGCCTGCAGCAGGAGAACTCCATCCTGAGGGATGCACTCAACCAGGCCACCAGCCAGACAGAGAGCAAGTAAGCCCATGGCTGGGGTGGGGGCAGAGGCTAAGACTGCCTTTGGGCAGCAGGGATTAGCTCTCCTTTGGGCTTGGCCTTTCTCACTTACTGAAGGGACCTCCCCCTGCAAAGCCTATTGCTGGCTGGAGGTAGGGGTGGGAGTGAGGAAGTGTTTGCAAATGGCTTCTGGGGTCGGGCAGGGGAAATGAAGATGTCTTTCCCATGCTGTGGCTTGCGATATTGTGGGAGGACAGGGGAAACCCCCTCTGCTGTGAGCCCAGGGCTACCTGTGCTGCTGCTTCAGCCAGCAGGCAGTGGGAGAGAGAAGGGAGCAGGAGGCGCTGGGGCCCTTCCCTGCTTAGGTGAGCTCATACTTCCTGACCCAAGAAGAAATTCAGCTGGCTCTTTGAAATGAGTGATGATGCAGGGAGCCGAGACGTGCCTGATGCCTGTAGAACAAATATGAGCTAGATAGAAGAATTTCACACTCCTTTTTATAGAAAATTTGAAATAGCTGGTGATTAACAGCAGTAAAATAATTACAGACTGGACTCCAGATGCTTAGAGAACTTCCTCTTGTGTCTGGGAACACAGATCCTCATGTCTTCTACTTCATAAGAAAGGAATGTCTCTTGTGATTGAAATACAGCTTTTAAAAAGTGATTTGTCAACTTTCCACCCCCTCCCTGAAGGACCAGGCGGGCCCTAGAGATAGGAAAATGCAACCACTAAAATGCTTCGAGTCCTATATCAGGCCCACAAGCAATTGTATGCCTCTGTAAGTAACACCAAGGATACTTGACTGTCCTGCAGGCTAAGAGAACCCTGCTTTTTCCAGGCAAAATGCTGAGCTGGCCAAGTTACGGCAAGAATGCAACAAGCTGATGAAAGAACTGTCTGAAAAATCGGAGGTGCTACAACAAGAGGAGCAGCAGAAAAAGAGCTGGGAGATCAAAGCAGCAGCGTCAGAGAAGCAGATTGAGCAGCTACAGGTCAGGCAGGCACTGCCAGCCTGCTCCACCAGCTTGGGCTTGGTGCCCTGCAGGAGGGTCTGTGCTAGCTGCAGCTCCAGCCTGGGGTGGGGGACAGCTGGCTTGAGCTAACCAGGAGTGTGGGGCTTTGCCAAATGTTTTCCCTCTGATCTTGTCTGGGTTGCTTAATCTCCATGTGTTTCTGGTCATTCTCTCTGCAAACTGTAGAGGGTTGGACAGAGAGAGAGGATTTGCTGCGAGAGCCAAGTCCTGCAGTGTTCTGGGTTTGTGACCTTAGGAGGTCTTTTTTTTTCCCAGTGGAAATGGGCAGCCTCTTTGAGCGAAGCGTCATATACAGACAGCTCTTCCCCTGTGCCAGCCTTCAAAAGGGAAAGTGCTCATGTCAGACATTGACTTCTCACCCCCCTTTCTGCAGGAAGGATGATTGTGAGGGACACTGGCTGTAAGAAACTGAAGTCAGCTGTTGGGGGATGAGGCTGTGTGCATGCTGCTGCCGATGCTCTGTGCCCATGTGCACGCACACACCTTACCCTACTCAGTAAAATTGTCTCTTTCCAGGTTGGTTAGGGGCTAAGTGGCTCAGATATCATTAAGAGTAACTGAATTGCGTGGGATGTGGGGGCATCAAAGGAGCTTGTGGAGAGATGACTATTCACAGCTGGAAAGCAAACTGCTTTGCAGATCTCTTAATAGTCTTCCCTGTGTTAGTTTGTCACATGCATTGTGGCTTTCTTGTAGCATAACCAGCAAAGCCCAGGCAGCATGAGACTTAGTTAAAACCATTCTTCTCACACATCTGTGGGGCTGACGTGAAGGTGTTGGAGAAACTCAGACTATATATACTGCTGGGTGTACCTGGTGTTGACTGGGCAGGGAGCAACTGGCCTAGTGTCCTGGTCCCTGTGGGACCAGACATGGGCAGGCACCACCTCCTGGTGGTGGCTGGAGCTTTGGAGGCAGCAGGGAGAGGAGCACCTGGGAGAAGGAGGGCTTTTTCTGCAGCAGTGTTCTTTCCCCTTCTGTAGAAACCCCCTGAGATGTGATGGGAAAACTGCTGGCTTGCACCAGCTTGTGTCTGTGCTTATGCAGATGAGAGAGCGAGGGAGGGAACCCACAACTCTGTTTTCAGGCCTGTTAATGCTAGCACAGGAGATAGAACTGTGGCTTTTTTGTTGTCACCAGGGTGTGGCTGGGTTGTTTGTTTCTTTGGGTGCTCAAAGGCCACCTCCCAAGCACAGACTTGGAGCAGGCTGTGGTTGGAGTGTGTTGCCAGCATGCAGGGGGAAGCATCTTCTGGCAGGGCAGTGCTTGTGTTGGGGCTTGGCTAAGCCAGGATCTGGGAGCAGTGTACGCACTCAGTATCCTACCTCTTCATTTTCTGCATGCCTGAGGGTGCAGTCCTCCTTTCAGTGGGCCATTTTTGAGCCCCTGTTGCTTTTGCAGTCAAGCAACAGAGACAGTAAGGAGCCTGGTTGGTGATGAAAGCATGGTACTGGTGTGAGGGCAGAAGCTGCCTTAAAGCACCAACTTCTAGGCATGCTTTTAGGAGAACTTCTCAAAGGCTGTCAGCTTGTTGCATGCCTTTATACTGGTCTCATAAGCCATCATACTAACTGCAAGGCTTCAAAGCCAGTTATGTGTTTAAGTGCCTATGGTGATGGGGAGAATATGCTTTCCAGTGCTGCCTGGAGTTCTTAGCTGAGGACATGGTGTTAAATCCTCAGAGCAGTTCTGGAAGCACATGAGCTCTGGGCTGCTGCTTGCCTTTTCCTGTCCTCTCCACACAAAGCATTGCAGTGGTGTGATGTGCGGAGCTGCTGATTTTTAGCACGTGCCTCATGCTCCTCTTTCTGCCTTCCCCCTCCAAGCACACATTTTGGCCTCTCCTCTGCTGCTTTCTAAGATGGAAAAAAAGTCTTCTCTGGCCCAAACCACGTAAAAAATTCCACTGTCTGTGGAAACACGTGGCTGGATGTCTGAGTCTCTCTGACGGCAGTGTCAGACCTCTATATGCTGGGCTGAGGCATCAGCTGCCTGCATGGCATCTGCTTTCTGGGAGCTAAAAATGTTGAGGATGACCTCCTTGGTGTAAGGAGCTCCTGTGATATCCTGTGTGCTGCTGGCAGGACATTCTCCTCATCTCCCCGCTGCACGGCAGCAGCTGTGAGTGTGGTCAGTAAATAGAGCAGTGCAGTGCCTGCCAGAGTAAACCTGCATCAGAGAAGTTCAGAGACATCAGTGTGTACTGCCAAGCATGGGGTGTTTGGGCTCTGAGCATCTACTGGGGCTTTGCAGAGGGGAGGCTTCCTGCAATGCAGTGTGTAACAATGCTTTTGGGTTGGGTATTAGGAAACATTTCTTCTCAGAAGAGTGGCGAGGCAGTGGCACAGGCTGCCCAGGGAGGTGGTGGAATCAACGTCCCTGAGGGGGCTCAAGAACCATGGAGATGTGGCACTGAGTCACGTGGATAGTGGTGAGGATGGGTTGATGGTTGGACATGATGATCTTATCTTTTTCAATCTTAATGACTCTATGCTTCTATGACCAGGGCTTTCAGAAGGTTTTCAACACTCAGCTTCCTTGCAGACTGGGGTGGAAGTTAGCATGATGGCCAGGTTGCCTGGTACACTCTTTAAAGCCTTCTTTTTCTGCCATGCAGGCTACACACAGAGAAGTGGAGGTGACACTGCAGAAGAGATTGGATGAAGTAAGCGATGAGCTTCGCAAAACCCAGAGCAGCTACAGGAGCCTAGTAGCAGATGCAGAAAAGGCCAAAGGGCAGCAGCAGAGCATTGCTGGTGAGGAAACAGCACAGGGATAGCTGTGGGGCAGCTGGAAAACAAAGCAGACTGAGCTTTTGGGGCTGAGTGTTGGATGGGACTGTTGAGGGCAGGATGGGTAGACCTGGGGATGAGTTTGGCTTTCTAGCATCAATACAAGCAAGACAAGGGGCTGGTACATGGCTGGTGGTGCAGAAAGAGGCTGTGATCCTCTCCTGGGTTGCCACTGCAGTGCCTCTGTCCTGTGTCAGCTTGTGCTGTCTCAAATCCCTTCCTGCCTATTCTGTGCCCCTGGAAAGCATCTGTGGCCAAGGCTTCTTTGGCCAAGGGTTGTTGCTAGGGCAGGGCAGGTTGGGGAGTCTCTAAGTTTATTGCACCTACCTTAGTGTATTTCTCTCCCCTTCCTCTGGCAGAACTGCAGGCCAAGCTGCTGAGCTCTGAAACAGAGGTCAAAAGCAAATTGCTGGAGCTGGACAGCTTGAAGGGGAAACTGCAGGATGCCAGTTCAGAGAACACGAGGCTTCTGGAGAGAATCAAATCCATCGAAGCTCTGCTGGAAGCAGGCCAGATGAGGGAGGCAGAAAAAGACAGAGACCTGCAGGTCCTGTGCATTTTTAATTTGGGTGAGAGGAGAAAAGGGGGTTGCATTGCTTTGTGACAGATGTGGAAGGGATCTGCCTGTGCCCAGCTGGCAGTGGGTGGTTCAGCTCTTAGCACCAGGCCCAACCAGGTGTTCTTGCACTGTGATATCAGTATCTGTGTTATCTCTGCTAACGGATCTCCCTGGGGTGCCACTGAAATGGCTGATCTGCATCACTTGACTAGGGAAGATAATGAAAGTGATTTCTCTGTTTCTAGGCAGCCAATGAAGCAGAAATGAAGCAGCTGCAGCTAAGGTATGTCTGGGTGCTCTCTAGCATATGCATACTGATTCTTCTTCCAACTTGCTGTCTCTGCATCCCAGACTTTGCCCAGTGCTGAGCTGTATGGATGAGTACTTCCTGCTCTCCCTGTTAGACAGCCTAGGGGGACTGTGAAGCCAGAAAGATGAGGTGAATCCTGGTCAGTGCAGCTGTTTAAGGTATTAATTGGTTCCAGTGCTGGCCTGCTGACCCCAAATAACAGCCAATCCATTCTGAAGTGACAATTTAATTGCTGTCTGGCACGTGAAGGCTAACTGTTCATGTACAACTGGCTGGGGAAGTTGTTGGGGCTGAAAGTGGATGAGGACCTGCGATGTTTCTTATTAAAGCCTGTGCTCAAAGCTGGGCTATCCAGATCAAGGATTTGTGGGCTAATTCAGGTGAGTTTGGGATGTCTTCAGGGATGGAGGTTCACCACCTCTCTGGGTCCCTGTCCTTCTGTTTTTGACATCTACTTGCATCAGAGAAAAAAGATTTCATAGCATCTGATTGGAGTTTCCCACACCACAAGTTGTGGCTGCTGCCTCTCACCCATGTGCTGGGCACCTCCGAGAAGGGTCAGGCTCTGTCTGTGGCAGAAGGAATTCTAAGATGCCCTTGCTGCGAGCGAGCACCCAGAGTTCCCCTAAAGGAGGGCACCTGATCAATCTGAGGTCCTGGGACCCCAAGATATTTGAGTGATTTGTGTCAGGGACTTAAATCTCTCTTGTTCTGCTCATCTGCCTTTCGGGGCAGATGATGGGCCTGAGGGTGTAGAGGGAAGCTGCAGGCTGTGAGATGTCTAGCTGGTGGTGCTGATTTGTGGTTACTGGAGATAGTAGGATGATGCCTTCAGAATGTAGAGCCATGGGCTATCTCAGCCTAATGAGCCCTGAATGGAAGCGTGCTGGGTGTAGCTCCAGTTGTATGATCCAGAGCTTGTGGCCTTTGGCTCAAGTTGTTGTCTTGTTCTAGATGTGCAGCCAGATGACTACTCATTTATTATTGCTGTTAAGAAAACTAGATCCCACTCCAGCATTGCCATGGTCTTTCATTTCCTGGTTTTAATCCCAGCAAGTGCAGTCTGCTCCCTTTATCTCTCCATCCAAGTTCAGCTTCCCACTGCTTGTAAATCCAAGAGCAGATCCCAAATAGGGCTGTGGTCCCATACTCAGAGCTCACTGCCTGGGGTGGAAGATGGAGGTGGAAGCTCACTCCTGCATTATGCCATTCATCATACCATTCCAGGCTCCAGGAGAAAACGGATCAGCTCTTGTGCTTGGAAAGGGAAGCAGAAGAGCTGCGAGAGGCGATGGAGCAACAGAAGACAAAAAACAATGTATGTGGAATGAACTGGGCTAAACATTTGCTGCTCAGATTCTTTTTTCTATAAAACCCAAATCTTTGGGGTCAGAATGTTAACAGTTTCTTTCTGGGCAGCACGGGCTCTTTCAGCCCCAGGGAGCACTGGGTATCACTTTATCTGCCAGAGATCGGGAGGGCCCTGGCAGGGTGCATGACTCAAGTGCTTAAGCTGATGGGCTGTGTGGTTGGAGGTGTCCCTCCTCTGTCCTCCTGGGCTCAGGACCTATTAAGCAGAGAGATGCTGTCCAGCAGGGTCAGGCAGTTCCTCATTGCCTCTCTGCTCCTTTTCCCTCTACTGCAAGGCTGCATGAGTTATTTGGAGGCAACAATGCAGCCTTCCGCTAGCCTTGTGTCTCCTTCAGGCAGCTCCGGCAGCTGCTTTTGGAGCTCATCTCTATCCTGCTCTCTTCTGTTCCTGCAGGAAGATTTGAGCGTGGTGCTTTGGGCAGCTGCAGGGATGGAGGATAAGGGAGTGCATCTGGGTGGTGGGATGGGGGATCCTCGGCAAAAGTGGCAGGCTGCCCATTTTCCTGAACGGAGGCTTTGAAATCCTCCGCAGTGCCAACAAGCAGCTTGGCGGCCTTCAGCGTGGTGTGTGGCAATAAGCCTTGTGTGTGTGGTCTCGGCAGGACCTTCGTGAGAAGAACTGGAAAGCAGTGGAAGCGTTGACCACGATGGAGAAGGCTTGCGAGGAAAAGCTACTTGCTGCTACAAAAGCAAAGGTGAGCCTGGTATTTCTCTTCAGTAGTGGTATCAGTGTTGTAGGGGAAGCGTTCAGCTTCCCCAGAGCCACCAGTTGTTTGCTCTGTGCTGCCTGCATTGTCTTAGTAGCAGTGCTGGTTTAACTTTATTGCCAGCTTCCCCAGGTCTTGTCTTGAGGCCTGTGTATCCACTACAGATTGCCAGTGGGGAGTCAGGTTTGTGGATGGAGGGGGAGGGATATTTTAGTGATCTCAGACGCTGTGTTCTCTGCTTGCTGGTTTTCCCGTGCCAGCTTATCTGTTTAGGCGCAGAAAAGCAAGGCTGGTGCTGCCAGCCTCGTCCACAAGCACCCGAGTCCTCCACCCCATGCCAGTGTGTCCTCTTGCAGGAGGAGTTGGCCCAACAGCTTGATGCGCTCCAGACACGAACCAAAGAGACTCTGCTCTCTGCGCTCCCAGAAGTCACTGTGTCACAGCAGGTGGGCTCCTACTATTCCAGCCCCCTTACAGAGCCTCTGCCATATAGGAATGACAGGCATCTAAACGTTTTTTTTTTCTTTTCCCCTCCTTGTCCTGTTTTTCAAACTCAGGATTATGAGGCATGGCTACAGGAGTTTAAGGAGAAGGCTGTGGATGTGCTAAAGCAACACGCAACTACAACACAGCCTGTGGTAAGTGAGGGGGCTGGGAAGTAGAGGGGCAAGGAGCATGTAAGTTGCTTTTTTCTTTTCCTCATTTCTCTTTCTCCATCTCCCTTCTCAGGATTTAGCACTTAAACTGAAAGAGGCAGAGGAAGCGCAGAGCACTTTACAAGCAGAATGCGAGCAGTACAGAGCTATCCTTGCAGAGACAGTAAGTTACAGCTCCTTGTAATGTGTTGGCCTTCTGCTAGAAATACAGCTCAGTTTCCCAGATCATGGGCTGCTGGTAGGCTTTGCACAGTATATTGCAGGGGCTGCCATGAAGATGATTATTCTCCACTGAGACAGGGGAAGAGGATAAGCCTGAATTTTATCCATTCTAATCAAGTTGGAAGCCTTCCTGGATGTTGCTTGAGGCACAGTGGCATGTGCAAGGGCCCTACTAAGCAAAGTGGTTGAGGCAGCTTGGGAATTGGGTGCCCCCAGCCCCACCTGGGGCACCTGGTTTTGTTGCTGATGCATTGGCCCAAATTGCAATGGCTCAAATCTTTTGAGAAGAGATGGATGTTCCATGGCACCCAGCCCTGGTGACTGCCATGGCGCTCCATTTGGGAGGGCTGCAGGAGGCTTGGGCTCAGCTGTGGCTTTTCCAATAGGAAGGAATGCTGCGAAACCTGCAGAAGAGTGTGGAGGAGGAAGAGCAGGTGTGGAAAGCAAAGCTCACTGTCTCTGAAGAGGAACTCCAAAAGGTGTGTGCTTTGGGACATCTGAGTGTGTTGTTTGTGGAGCAGAGGGGCTGTTGGCTGCAGATTGGATGGTGACCCTATCTGTTCCTGCCAGCTTTGGCAGGAAAATGAGACCTTTTTCTTCTACCTCTTGTCACAAAATTAACAGACAGAAACTCACTTAAAACCTTCTTACTCCCACCTTCCTGCCCACTGTGTACTGGAGGAATGGGTTGCAGCTCTCTGGTACAGGCATGATCACTGGGAAACTGCATTACTGCTTCAGTAATCTCAGTTCTGAAACTTGGAAGTCAGACTCAGCCCTCCTGGTGGGTGCTGGCTTGGCTGAGGCAGGGCACGTGCCGTGTTCTTGGACTCCTATTTTCAGGGACTTGGCTTGCTCTTTGTATCTAGGTTGAGCTTGGCTTTGGTTGAAGTTTCAGAAAGAAGCTGAGGTCCAAGCCACGTATTGTGAATAGTTTTTGGTCCAGCTGTCTGTCTAGCTTTGGGTACCTCTCTCACTGGCTACAAAGCCAGCTGGCTGCTGCTGTAGAGCCAGTGCTCTCCAACTGTCTGGGGGGAAGCATGTGTCCTGAACTCCTGTGACTTAGCTAGGGTCTGGGAGGGCTTGGCTGTCATGCTTTTTCTGCAAATCTGACTTCAGTTATCTCTGACTTCAGTATCCTTTTGATTGCAGAACTGAAATAAAACTACTTCCCATAGTCCGGTTGCTCCCCATCCTGTGGGTTCTTAAGGGGCTGCAGAGAAGTGGGAGAGCTCTTGTACAGGAGATCTTTAATTCCACTGCTGGCTGTCTGACACTGAGGGCTGCAGCTGTGCTGCATGAGGATGACGTGGCTGCTGGTGTGTGTGTGTTGGGATGGACGTGGCAGCTGGGGCAGGCCCTGAGCAGCTCTGCCTCTCTGTGGAGAACAGGGGAATTCTTCTGTTCAAAGAATTCAGCAACCATGCAATTCTTTTCTCAAAAATAAATCTGGGAATGCCTTCTACTGATTATTTTTTCTTTCTCTTGGCTTAGTCACAACTCCAGTTGAAATCCCTTGAAGACATGATAGAGAAGTTGAAAACAGAGCTGCAGAGCACTGACCAGGTAAGGTTTTTGGCTTTCTGTGTTCCTGGCACAGACACTGGGCAGATGGGTGCTGTGCTTGGGCTGAATGGGAACCCATCTCCTGACCTACCCTGGGGAAGGTGGGCTGCAGCATGGGATGGGTCCGGGGTGTTTGGCACCTCAACCCCCTCTGCATTCTTCCCTTTTAATCCAGCTAAAGGAATACATCTCTCTCCTGGAAGCGCAACTGGAAAATCACTTGCAGACAGCCAGCTCCGAACGCCAAAACTACACAAAAGAAGTTGAAGGTGTAAGTGTGGCAGATGTTACTTTAAATGTTGCTTCTTCTAAGTTGGACTAACCACCCCTCCACTTTTTGGGGATTTGAGGAGTGCCTCGGGAATTTGCAGGTTTGCAAATCAGGAGGAAGTAGCTGGAGACGTTTGCTCCAGTCTGGGTTGTGGGCATCTGCTGTTGGGATAAGTTGGCAGGCTGATGGAGATCTATATGGAGATGCCCACTGCACCTTAGTACCCCGTGGGATTTCAGGTGAGGCAGTGCTGTCCCACAGCTGCCTCTTTGAGCAGCCACTAGCAAGTGATGCTGTCACTGCTTCTCTGAAATGGTGTTGAATTCTAATAATGCCTCCCTGGGCTGCAGAACTCCAACGTGAAGTATATATGCATGTTTGCCTTTTTACCTCTCTGAGGGCACCAGGACGATGGGGCTGGGAGATCAGAGGGCAGCAAAATGTGATGGGGAGTGGCCAGAACAGCACTTCTGTATTGTGAGGTGGGCCACAGCCTCTCAGAGGTGTGACTAGAGATAAAAGCCCAAACCCTAATGCTCTTCCTCACCTCTGCTTCCTGTTTCTTTTCACCAGCTGAGACAGCTCTTATTGGAGTCCCAAGAGCAGCTGGAGGCAGCAAAGACAGAAACACAGAAGCAGAGCAAGGAGCTGGCCCTGGTAAGGGGTGATGTACCACTGGGACTCATCTGCCTGCATGCAGGACTGCTGCCTGGCCTCGGGGCAGCTCACAAACTACAACCTGGGGTTCATCTGCTTGCTGGTGCCCTGCTCCTGCAGGTTTAGAGACAGGAGGAAGGCACAGCCATCACATGGGCACACATGGTGCTCCCAGCCTTCCCCACAGTGGAGACTGATTACCCCTCACAAACACTTGAAGTAGGGCTTTGGGTGCTGCCCTGGGGCCCTAGGTGGGATGAATTAGTTTGCGTATGCCACGTGCATAGGGGTTGCTTAGAGGACTAAAAGATGGGGCTGAGTTTCTGCAGGTGAGTGGGGGAGCGGCCTGGGATAAAGGGCCAGGAGAGCCAGCAGACCTGCCAAAAACATGAGGGCTTTTGTTTTTTAAATCATTACTTTGGTTGTGAGACAGCAGTTGCTGCTTTGCATTTTAATTTTGGAAATGCTTCATTGTTTGGAGGCTACTATCATCTGACTCACTGAACAAATTGGTGCAGCCTTTGCTCTTTGGGGAGCTTGGTGCTGGATGGTCATTAGCTTTAATCTCATTATCTGGGCAGGTGGCTGTAAGCACTGAACATGCTTGTGTGCCTTTCCTTTCTTCTGTACAAGGTTTGTTTGTTAGTCCGAACATTCATCTTTCAAACTGCCCATGTTAGATGCAGAACCTGAGGTGGTTTTCCCAACATCTCAGCTTGTGTGCAAGCAGAAGGGCTGACAGAACTGATCTGCGGTCCGTGTGGATCTTGTCACAGGACAGTGTAACTGAGGCAAGCTTGCTGGTCCTTCCTCCAGGTCAGGCAGCAACTGAGTGAGATGAAGAGCCACGTGCAGGATGGAGAGGTAGCGGGGTCACAAGCTGATCTGGGCAATCCCACGCCCTTTGAGGTTAGGGTGGTGAGACTGCTGCCCACAGGGTCACTGACCCTTAACTGTGTCCCTTGTCCTGTCCCCCTGTCTCTAACTGCATGGAAAACTGCACGTGGCTTTGCTGTTGTCTCCTGTCCTGTGTGTATGGGGTCTGACAATGGAGGCTGTGGGAAGCTGGGCCTCGCTCCCTTTGGCCACACGTTGAAGGTCTTCTTTGAAGCAAGACAGGCTACAGAAGAGGACGTCCTGACACGCTGCATGGGAACCCTTTCCAGCAGGAGGCTGGGGATTAGGATTATAGGCCCTGTGTAGGAACAGAGGCTCTGCAAATCTTGCTGGAGCCAGGCTGAAGGCATTATCCACGGCTGTTCCCTTGCAGGCTAACACCTCTTGCTGGCAGCGGTGTCTGCCTCATGCTGGGCTCTGTCTCTCTCCTTTAATCCTGTTAACTGTGGAACCTTCTCTCGGGCACTGCTCTGGCACACACGAGGACCTGCCACATACATCGTCCCATGTTGTGCTGCTCAAAAGCAAGCAAACTTTGGCAGTGCCCAGGCTCCCCATGGCCATCCTCCCAGCTTCTTCACCCACTGCCCTTCTGTGCCCTGGGGAAAGCTCCAGGCTTCATTTCTTTGGTACGACCCAGCTCCCATTGGCTCATCATTCTCATCAGCTCTCCCTTTGTTTTGTTTTCTGCGGGTTTCTCCCCTCTCAACACAGTTGAAAATGCAGCTGGAGCAGAATGAGGCACTGATGGAGAAGGAGCAAGAGCTAAGGCACAAGCTGGTGCGGGAGTTGGAGGAGGTGGGTTCTGGGCCAGGAGGGTTGATGGCCCGGCTCTTCGTGCTCCTGGCTAGGAAGCGCTGCCCTCCCGGGGGATGCAGTGCACCCAGCCGTCTGCTGGCGGCTCCATAGCCCAACTCTACAGCAGGGCCAGGCCGTGCTGGCTGCCAGGGCAGGAGGTGCCTGCTGCTGTGCACTGGTGTTTAACGAGTGTGTCCCCCTTCCAGGCACAGAGCTCAGCGTGCAGCTTACAAGCAGAGCTGGAGAAGTTGAGACTGGCTGAAAACGCAGCAACTTCGGACACGGAGGAGGCCCAGCATCTGAAGGTGATGCACTGACTTGGTCCCTTGTGCTTGGTGCTGAGCCAGGAGGGCCAAAGCTATATCCAGGCAGAACTTGGGACGTGATATATCCCCAGTGGGGATGGTGGAGCAAGGAAGATAGTTCTCAAAGGAAGATTCTCCTTGCCGCTGTGCTATCAGTGAGTTTTGATAGGGCTGAAGGACAGCACGCTATGAGTCACAGCCCCTCATTGGCCAAGGTAGGGTGATGCTCTGAGCTGACTGCCTTAGCACGTATACAGGCTGGGCTTCCTGTAGAGTGGGAGGTCACAGAACCATAGGGTATCCCGAGTTGGAAGGGACTTGTAAGGATCACTGAGTCCGACTCCTGGCTCTGTACAGCACCACCTACATTTCAGACCCTGTGTCTGAAAGCAGTGTCTGTATGCTCTTTGAACTCTGGCAAGCACATTGCCATGACCAGTTTTGTGGTCATTGTGCTCTGTTGGGGTTTGCAGCCCATGCTGTCTCCTGGGGTTCCTGGGTCCCCTGCAAGCAGGGAGGCTGAGGCATATGGCTTCTTTTCATTCCCATCTAGGAAAGACTTGAAAAAGAAAAAAAGCTAACAAGGGACTTGGGCCAGGCAGCAACCAAACTACAGGAGCTACTGAAGGTTACCCAGGATCAACTGGCCAAAGAGAGAGAAACGGTGAAGAAGTTGAAAGAACAACTTCATGAAAAGGTACTTGTTCCCAGGACTGGGACAGATGCCCCAGCTGTGGCAGTTGGCCATCCCTTCTGCACTGGTGGAGGTTGCAGGAGTGTGTCATGTGGTGGTTTAAAATGGGATGCAGTGGGAATCTTACTGCCAGAAACCATCTGGCTGGCTTCGGGCAATGCCTGTGGCTGTGGTGGGTGGTGGTCACCGTTCTCCCTGCCCACAAGGGGAGGTCTGGCCCATTTGGGAAATGCTTTGCTGCTTATCCTACAGCAAGAATAAGGTTGGGACCGAGCTGAGTAACTCACCTCTGTTCTCCTTCTCCAGGGAGAAGAGGACAGTTCAAAGGAAGGGACTTCAGTTTGATGAGTCTGTGACCTAGAATGAACCGTTCAACTTACCAAAATGCCTTACACATTCCTAAAACAAAAATATATGCTGAATTTATTGTAGATAAGATACAATACAAGCCATTAGTGACCCAAAACCTAGTTTTGAAACTTAAGGGAAAAAGAAAAAAAAAAAAAAAAAGAAAAAAAAAAAGGTAAACAGTGCTGGCGTACATTTGTAAGAAAATCTTCATACTGTTTTGTACAACCGTTCGTTCCCCTGGGTGCTGCTCTGGCCGGGCTGAGGCCAGGACATGACCCTCCTCGAACCCACGAATGTGTGAAAAGGGAAGGCTGTGTTTGTACATCAACTGGTGCAATTATTATTATATATATAAATATATATATTATTATTTTTTTGAGTGAAAGAAGTGTGAAAGTAAGACCCACGATGGAAGGAAGCCACTTGTTGATGGGTGGCTCTGGGCATGTATCCTTCTGTGTATTTTCTGGGTGTCGATGCAATTAAAATGATGTAGTGGAGAGAGCTGCTTCCTGCTTTATTTCTCTGGTTATTTTTCATGTTGGCAGACTGCTGGGCCTTGGGCGTGACTGAAGGATGACCCTGCTGTGGCCAGAAGTGGATCCTTTGCTCCTTGCTGTGCTGTAGCAGCTCTCCCCACTGTGTTTTCTCCAGTATGTGTGAAGGAGGTGCAGAGGTGCTGAGGCCACAGGGGGATGCAGTGGGATGGCTGCTTCTGGGGACAGGTATGGAGCCTCTCCCTGCTGCTGCTGGGAGCAGCAGAGACTTCACACAGCTGAGGCTGGTGTGCATCCCAGGCACAGCCTCGTGGTCGAGACCTCAAGGCTGCAGTCAGTGGTTCGTCAGTGGAGGCTGATGATGTGCCCTGCTCTTTGTAACCCACCAGAACAGCACCCAGAATGGGACTGAGTGCCTCCCACCCCAGTACTACAGGGTTTTTGAGGTGGGGACTGTGGACTTCTGATGTGGGATGGGCTGGAGGGGAGCTGATGGCTGCAGGCTGGTGACATTGGGCCCTGTGCCCTCTGCTCCCCTTGCTTCCAGCCCTCTGAGTGCAGGAGGCTGAGTGCCTGGCTTCTACCTGGCTATACTAGGCTTCTGGAGGGATGTGCTCATTGACCCAGCCCTCACTCTGCAGTCATGATTAGCCATCAGCTTCCTCTTCTGGCTTTGGGAGGCCCTATTTACCCAGGCAGTAACAAAAAAGCAAAACCAGTAGAAACCAACCACAGGTTGGAATGAGCTGTTGAGTGGAAGGGGGTGGCCATCATCCAAATGGCAGTCAGTGGTGAGGGCCCCAAAACAGCCAGCACAGCAAAGTGATGAAACTTTTTGGTTTTTGTGTTTTGCTTTCGCAACAACCAGTTCCTTCACTGTGCTTGCTTGTGCAAAACAGCACACGCTTAATGAGTGCACACACAGGAGCAGTGAGAAAGCTCTTTAAGTACACAGCCTAAGCAAGAAGGGTAGACAGCAGCATGCATGCTCAATGGGCTCCAGAAGCCAAAGGAGTGCAGATTTGGCGTCCTTGGCGTGAGGGATGTACGTGTACTTCAGGACATCACCCAGCTGCTGTGTTTGAAAGGGAGAGGAGAACTGGAGTTGTTAAGTAAGGCAGATGATGGAAACAGGTCACTGGGTGCTGGTGTTTAAGCTTAAGTTCAGGTGCCTGGTGTGGTGCTGCTGGGATTTATGCTGTTCCAGGGAGCCATGAGAAGGGGAAAGCCAACAACCTCCTGAGAGGCCAGAGTCAACTCTCAAAGGGCCAAGCCCTCACCTCAGAGTAGTGGGATTTCATGCTGCATCCACCCCTTGAGCAGCACGGGCTTTGCAGGGCTCTATCTTCCTTCAGGCAAGCTGTATTGCTGGCTCATTACCGGGTTAGCAGGTTGTGATGCAGGGCAGGTGCGAACAGCAGCCTGGGTGCTGCAGCCAGGTGGGTCTTCAAAGCTCAATGGCTCTGCTTGTGTCACCTTTTCAAGAAGGTCTGGGTGATTTGGGAAAAGCCACGAATGAAAGGATTGGAAAATCATAAAAGGAAGCACCTTTCCAAGTTTTACAATAGCTACAATTGTAGAAGGGCAACAACCTTGGAAGATGAAGTTTGGCTTGCTAAGTAACTCCATCCTATGATCAACAAAGCTGAATGCAAAGTAACAGCCAGCACAGGAACACAGTGGGAGAGATCAGGTTTGTACCTCAGGGTTTGCACTGAGGATCCTAAAAACTGACCAAGTGAAGCTGGGACCATACCTAACCACAACCAAAAGCACCACCTTCTGCCTCAGTCCCTTGACTGAAGCACTCTGTGCCCAAGTTCCTGACTTGAATGCTTTCACATAGTGAGAAGCACCCTCCTGCCTCCACATCTGACTTCTGACTTCCTTCCCCTTTGTTCAGGCCATTCTCTAACCAAAAAAGGAAATCCCAGGGAGCTTCACCTGGGCTGGATTGCTCTTGGAAGTTAGCTGCAGTCCGGGGGTGTCAGTTATCAGTTGACTCCTGAATGGGAGTTCCCTTTATTTGTCAGGCAGCACCACTCCCACTGTGTCACTGGTTTTCTTATCTCAGCCTGAACTTTGGACAGACACCAAGGTACAGAAGAGCTGTTTTGTGGGGACGATTACTGCCTTGTATGGAAGAGCTGTTTTTATGGGAATGGCTACTCCCTTGTGCCAGGTTGAAAGTTGAGGAAGAAAACAGGCCAGGAGCACCCACTGATGCCAGTTCAGTTTCCTCTTCTGATAGGATCTCACTGTGGTGGATCGTATCAGAAGTTGACCCTTGTGGAGCACACAAGGATACCACATTAGAGCACACAGTCAATGCTTGCCTTTGATTAAATATTCAAATACACAGCACAGCCAAAAAGCACAGACACTGCATTAGGCCAGGGAGCAGCACTTCCCTGGTAGTGCTCTCCTGAAAAGCAGCAGACCAAGCAGGTGTCCCTACATACCTGGCAGAAGGGGCAGCCTTTAACTTCTGGCACCGGCTAGAGGAAGCTCTCAGTTCTTACTGGAAAAGCAGCACCAAGTATCTGGCACAGGCCTCCAACAGGTCCAGAAGGAAGGGAGCAGACACCAGGGTGGATCTCATGACTGCCACAGATTGCTATGCACTCAGCTGTTGAGGTGTGTGAGGCCAAGGAGGACATCAACAGGCTGCAGAGAAATGGACATGCTTTCTCCCCCACTTCTCCTTCCAGCCTCTTTTCCCCCCACTGCAAACTGGAGAGGAATCAGTCACTGACCCAGGGGAAAGAAACCCCATTTATTTAAGCTATTCAAGTTTGGCACACACAGAACATACCACAGTAACGCACTGGAGGCTAAGGGTTTTTTTTCTTTTTTTTTTTCTCTACAGACATACAGGAAAAGTCTATGCAACTTCCATGTACACATTACACAAAGGAAACAGCTTTAATCAACCACTGGTGAAACATGGAAGCTTTTAAGATCTCTGTAGCTGGCACAGGAATGTTCTCTACCCCCCCATACAAAAGGCATTTCAGGTCAGACTTTCTAGTAGGTGTTATTTCCATGCATTTCTACAGAATTAAAGAAGCTAACAGACAAAAAGCCCAGATCAAGCCATATTAGTCAGGCTGATTGGTTCTACTAAGTTAAATCAATAATAATTATGGACAAATGGACCAAGTGACCAAAGACTAGGGCTGAGAACACCACTTGCAATCTTTTGCTGTTTTTCCAAGTGGTTCTTTCTCATTGTACTACCCATAACTGGAGAGCTCCGATGGAAGAATCTGCACTTGTCAAAGCCTCAGAAGCATCTGATCCGCTAGGAAGCATGTTAGTAGAAAGATGGTAGTTCTAAATTAACCTATGCCAAAGGAAAAGCAATTTTAATAGAATCGTTCAGCCTTGGAGGAGATCTCAAGATACTTCATAACCAATGTTAACCTGTAGGAACAAGCAAACCTTTAAAGACTGCTGCACTGCGAGTTTACAAGAATGATTAGGACTTTCTCCAGGAAAGCATGCCTACTTCAATCTCTATTTTAACCTCCTAATTAACCCTTATTAGTAACGCTGTGCAACCGCAAGCACTAAGAATTTAGCTCTGTTTAGGTGCCTAACTTTAACTACAGGTTTTAAGTCTTGCATTAAATGATTCAAGGGGAAAGTTTTTAGTTTTTTTTCATTTGGCAATTTGGCCAGTAGCCTCAGAAAGACTGATGATTTTGCTCATTTTAATTTAGAAAAGAACAGGAACCAGATTGTTCTCATCATTCCCCCCCTTCATCCCATGATACACTGCTGAATCAGAATTTTTGGAGACCTTTAGTGTTAATTCATTGGGGATAGTACTGGGATAGACAACCAATGCGAATATTAATACACCAAGATAAATCCTTAATTTGATTTATTTAAGGTCATTTGTACATACGAGCTACATCTCCAAAATCTACTTTATTCTACAAGACAGCTTCCCTACAGTTAGTGAAACCCTTGCCTAGAATGGTTGCTTTACATAACTGATACATTAAAACATGGAATGCTTGTAGAGTTGTGGCACTGTATGACATCTACACGGGACTTCCTTCAAAAGCTACGACTAGGGAGCCTCCTAGCTTCTCAGCAATACAAGCTCGATTGAGGTCCTCTGGCCCATTTGCTTGGCATTCATGCTTTATGCCTAAAAAAAAGATGCAAAACACACAATAATGCAGTATTTCAATATGCTAGTAATCAACCAGAGAAGCACAGTTAGTAGTAATATTAGAAGAGGTAGTCTGGTCACTCAAGCTGAAGTCCCACCTTCAGTGAGGAAAACTAAGGAATTTGGGTTTATTCCCCC